TCTGACTTGTCCTCAAGCACCGCTGGCATCACCATCATAGTTTAGGTCCAAGAAAATCCCAGTCCCAACAAGCCATCCCCAGTGGCCGTGCGGTTGCATTTTAATGTGCCTCTGGGTACAGGTGCTGGTGCCCACCATGGTGTCAGAGAATATGCTCAGAAGAAAGCAACACAAATGGACTCTGGCAGTTATTTGGCTCATTTTCTAGAACCCACTTTAAAATTAACAGCATGTTTCAGCATCCAAAGATGTTGAAAACATTGGCAACTAGCAAAATCGCTGCTGGACCTATAGCAGACAGGCCTTGGTTAGTTGCCCTACCTCTTGAATAGGCTTGGCTCTGCTTGCATAGGAACATCTGTGTTTACATTAGGGAATGTGAAATGCACGCACAAAAGGAAAATGACTAAATGGAATTAAAGAGCCAGAATCACAGTTTGATGGGGCATCTAATAAAAAAAAGGGGGCCACGCCACATGACTGGTCGTGACAAAATGGGAAAACACCCTGGGATTAAGAATAAGAACCAGCGTTGACAATAATGAAAACAATCGTTGAGTATTAGCAATGTATTTCTATGTATGTCTAGCGCATCCTTGTTGTCTCCCTCAAAACATGAGGTGGCTGCAAAAGCTCATGGGAAAATTCCATGATCTTTTAAGTCCATTTTCCCCCCAACTTTGGGAGACCTTCTGTATATGCTCATTGAAGAAAACGAGGAAGAAGTGGCTGCCTAAGGAAACAAGCAGTGACCTCTGCACAAACTTTGGCGGAGGTGGCCTCCAATAGAGAATGCAGCGGTGGCAGCCCCGAAAGTGGAAAACATTTTAAAAGGCGCATTTGGAAACCTCTAAGGCCTGTGCTAAAAAGAGATGGATGACTGAGGATTCGGCGAGGGGCAAAGTAGCAGCCTTTGGGGTAACCTCAGGTAGTGATCAGCATCCCAAACAGGCGAACACACTGTGATTAAATTTGCTGGCAGTATCAGGAGAAAGATGATAGAAGCATATGTGTGTCTGCAGAAAAAAATATTTGGGGGCTGCCAACAGAACTCAGCTAAGGAGACCAGAGATGCAAGAACTCAGTATGACTTTAGTACTTCCCACGACTCAAGTTTCAGTCTTATGGAAATTTTTAAGTATCTTTTAATTCCATCTTTCCATGAACTTTTTGAAGCCCCCTGGTATACTCCAGCGGGCAAATTTTGTAACATTTCAAAGGTTATCAAAGACTGCACAGTCATGAATATGATTGTATTCATTTTCTCATCCAAATTGAATGACAAATCATTAAAATAATAACTAGAACTTTGCCAACCGTGCCAGTCGGGTCCATCCGAGAGCGTGAACATCCGAGTGGCCTTAGAAATGAACACAGGTTTGAAGCTTACACAGGAAGCTGCATTGCCCTCATGTTGATTCCAACTCAGAGTGACCCTAGTAGATCACAGGTGAACTTCCTATAGGGCTTCGAAGATTTCATCTCTCTCCTGTGTGGCAGTTGGGGAATTTTAACGATCAACCTTTTGATGATGGAGTGTTTTAATTAATGATCCACAGGACTTTTTGAGACTTGTATTATGGCCCGCAAATTATGTAAGTAGCCCTGCATTTGCTGCCCTCTAAACTGCATCTACAATGAAGGAAGTTTAGTGCTGAAAAAAAAAGAATAATGCAGGTAAGACATAGCCTGGTTGTTTAAAGGTTAGAGTCTAGGATTAGAATAAGCTTAGTCGTCAAGTTATTATAAAATGAGTGGAAAGTGAGATATGAGGTAAATATGAAGCTCCAGAGGAGAAAACAGTTATTTCTAGGTGGAATGGGGTCAGGGCCTGTGGAAGGATTAGTGTTCGTTGGATCTGCAAAGAGGAGAGGCTTTGGAACACTGGTGATGGGAACAATGGGAGAGAGGCGGTGTACTGTACAGTGAACCCTCGCCACTTCGCGCTTCGACTTCCACGGCTTCACTCTATCGCGGTTTTTGCGTAACAGCACCCACTGCCTACACCCGCTCCTTCAGAGGAAAAAGACGGCGACCCACCTGTTGAGTACATCCCTTATGTCATTTCATAGGCTATTGATTACAGTATTTGTAAGAACTATGTATAATAATACTGTATGTGAAATATGTAATACTGTAAACTAGATGCCATAAATAATATAATAAATAATAAATGATAATTGTAACGTCCAAAATGTTTTACTGTATTTTCCCTTTTTCGTTTAATAAATTGGGTAATACGAGTGTAATGGTGACTAAAGGGTGTTTTTTCATGTCCTCTATGCTCTAACTATGAAAATATTTGATTTACAAATAAGGAATCCTACTTCGCGGAATTTCATTTATCACGGTAGGGTCTAGGACCGATTAACCGCGATAAACGAGGGTTCACTGTATATGTAAAAACATGAGAAGAGCATGGTCACTGGGAATTGATTTCACATTATTTGGTTTGCTTAGGATAAGAAGAAACATGGTTGAAAAGGTAGGTTGGCATTGGTCTTGAGAGGGCCATGAATATCTAGCTCATGATGCTGAAAACAAGTCAACAGGAATTACCAGCCAATTTGTGGTTGTCTGAGGAAGGGATGGGGAGGATGATTATAGAGTAGCCCTACGGGAAAGAGAAATGGTTAAATGAGTGTTCCACTTCTAGGAGTTGAAACTACCAGCCATTGTATGGAGGAAAGTGGTAGAAATTTGCTTCCCTGGAGATTGTTATTAGTTATTGTAAGGTACCATCAAGGTTGTTTCTGAATTGTGGTGGGCCTATAAGCAATAGAACAAAACACTGCTCTGTGCTGCCCATCCTCATAATCCCTGATAAATTGAACCCACTGTTTTGACCACATTGCCAACCCAGCGCTCATTGAAGGTCTTATTTGTCATTCACCCTCTACATTACCAAGCCTAGTCCAGATTTACACTGCAGCCTTGGAAACCCTAAAGGGTAGCTCTTTTCTATTATTTATCATTGCTACAAATCAGACTTGATTCCACCAGATATACAACCAGCTGGTCATGCCCTTCATTAGGAAGAGTATAACTGGCCTCAGGCAATGACAGGAATTCTATCATTTCTCTACAATGGAAGTAGAGTATTATCACAAACCAGATGAATTTGATGTTTGATTGGGTGGACACATATAATGTGATATTAAGTTAGTGCCCAAACTATCTATTTCTTAATTTACCCAATTAAACTCTACCTTTCCCATTTGGCCAACAGATACTCTTCACTCAGTCAACTTTTATTACTGGAGGTTTGAATTGTCAGGAGAGAGAAACAAGCTAAGGCAGCTTTGAGAATACTACAGAAATGAAAGTCTAATAGGTTTTTTTTTAAGTGTAATAGCTTCATCTCTAAAATAATTTCTCCAAAAAAATTTATTATTTAGAGCAATGGTTCTCAACTTTCCCAATGCTGTGACCCTTTAATACAGTCCCTCATGTTGTGGTAACCCCCAACCATAAAATTATTTTCATTGCTACCTCATCAACTCTACTTTTGCTATTAGAGTTGTTATTAATTAATTAATATTATTAATTATTAATAAATAATAAAAGCAATTAATATTATTAATTGCTGATATTGTTATTAATTGGGCGACCCCTGTGAAAGGGACATTCGACCCCCAAAGGGGTCGCAAACCACAGGGTGAGAACTGCTGATTTAGAGAAACACATGATAGTATTGGACTTGGTTCATTTCTTCACAAAAACATAGAAACTGAAATCAACACCATTTAATTATTTCCTATGTGATCATTCAGATTTTTTTTTCTAGTAGAGATGCACCAGAAGAAAATAATAATAAGTTTTGTACTTTAAGGCTTACAAAATGATTTTTCTACTTACCTACCTGTATCAGTTGAATGACTTAATTCTATTGCAAACCATTTTAAACTCCAAATAGAAATGTACATTAGGACTTCTCCTAAATGCTTCATCTAAACACATTGGGAAGGGATACTATAACCCTCCTAATAGAGAAATATTTCAATATATTATTATTTGATAACCACATGAAATACCCAAGGAAGTAATACTAAAATTGAATCTGAAGAAAATCCATAGATGCATGCTAAGATATATTAATGAAACAAAAGGTGAATTTTATTTTTTCAGTTGTTTTTGACCATTTATTTACCAATAATGAAAACATCAGTATTTTAGCTCTCAGAAATGAAATCTTAATTAATGTTACCTTTCCCTGTATCTCACATAATCTATGGATCATTGTATTAATGTTCCTTTTTGAAAAGAAAAATTACAAAATAGCTTCTTGTTGGAAAAAAAAAGAACTATGAATGTTCTTTTCAATAATTAAAAAAAATATTTTAAATGAAATAATCCTGAAAATGTAAAAATTCATTTCAGTGAATATTGTGTTTGTTCCTAATGTATGAAGAGGTAGCTTTTCACCCCAAATTTCTATCCTATATTAAGTTATTATGGTAATATACAGTAGTACTGAAAGAAAAGGCTTTTGATATTTCAGGACTGAAACACAAAATGAATTTAATTTGGGAAATTAAAGTCAGGATTAAAGGATAATAAGCTTCTTCTTGGAAAATTTCCATCTTAGTCATCTGACCTTTAATATCAAGCCTCACACAAGAGATGACTCAACCTTAGCGTGTGGGTCGCTTTAGAAGAGGTACCATAAATATATTAACCAATAAATAGTTGGAGATGAACTCAATAGTCTTTTTAGTTCAGGAAATTTCTCATTAATTTTTCTGAACTAAACTTTTCTGTTGCCTAAACTTTGATTAGGTGAATCAATACACACGATGAACCTCTGATTTTCTGACTGGATCACAGATTGAATCTGCCATTGGAAATATAGAGAAAGCTCTCCAAAGCCTTACAAGTCCCCAAAGTTACATGCTATTAAGCCTGAGATGTGGGCAGTAAGTCTTCAATCACTGTAATTTCAGGCAGAGAAATCATTAAGTAACAAATGGTCTCAAGTATAAAGAAAGAACCCATCCTACCTTTTTAAAAACTCCATATACTCGGTATGCTTGATGAGTCCTGTTCTCATCATTATTGTTTGAAAACATTGCCGATCAATGGCCCAGAGTTTCACGTTGACAAGAGCTGAGAAAAGAAAAGGAAACAAGGATAAATGGCACAGAAAATTCCCACCGTGAACGTTCTCCCACAAGGTATGAGCAACTCGTGGGAAGTAGAAGAATGATTGACCTTTACCAACACGGAAAAAGCGAATATCCTAATGCTGTTCTTTTTGGTTAAAAAGTCATGTATGCTCCCAGGAAAAATGAAGATTGTAATTGTCCAGACCAGGACTTTGTCTAATGGGAAGGTGTGTGATGTTCTTGGCTTCCTAAAGGGATGAGGTATCTGATCGGAGTGCACAATGAAAGTGCCAAATACTTTAAATGCTGTAAACAGTGGATTCTCGTGAAAGGAAAAGAGACGCACAAGTAGTGACATCTCCTGATAATTACCCATCGTTGATGTTAATAGTTACACAATCTTATTTTTTTATTATTAAATACTTTTATTGGGGGTTCTTACATCTCTTATCACAATCCATATATTCATCCAGTGTGTCAAGCACATTTGCACATATGCCGCCAACACCATTTTCAAAGCATTCTCTTCCCATTTGAGCCCTGATATCAGCTCCCCATTTCTTCCCCCTCCCTCCTCCACCAGCCCTCCCATATAATCTTATTTTAATTATAAAAAGGAGGGATAAAATTTTTAATTCTCAAGTTTAGACATTAATTTAATATAGAAGAAATAATAATTATACAGATATTTCTACACAAAGTTCATTTTACAAAGTATAGTTTGTGCCCAAAGTTACCATGTAAGCTATATTAGGTACAGTTGTTCAATTTTATTTCTACTCATATTCACTCCTAACTTTGATCATGTAACCAAAGTGAAAATACTACAGCACGTACCCATTTGATCACTCTTTTAAGCACATGATGAATCTTAGAAAATAAAAAGATGCCGTAGTGTCTCACAGAGAAATATATTAAGCCTTTCCAGTTTTCAAAGATAAGAACAAAAATAAGGCTAGGCAAATCTTCACAAAATATTTTAAATCAGCACATACTAAACAAAGTAAATTCATAGATAAAATGAAAATAAACCTCCCTGCCATCAAGTCGATTCTGATTCAAACTGACCTTACTAGGAGACAAAAGAACTGCCTCTTTGGGTTTCTTAGGTGAAATTTTTTTTAAGGATTAGAAAGAATCATTTCTACCTAAGAGCTGGGGGTCGGTTTGAATTGCTGACCTTGCGTTTAGCAATCCAAAATTTATGTTTAGAAAATAATGATGGCATCGTATGTACAGATATGCTCGAACCAATTGATGTATGGATTATTATAAGACCTGTACGAGCCCACCAAAAAATTATCTTTTAATTTTTATTTTTTAACACTCCCATCAAGTTGATGTGGACTCATAGTTCATTTGCTGTTGAAATGTCTCTACGTAAAACTTGTGGGCATTTCAAATACTTTACATGACAATGAACATGATTTGATGAGATTGCAAGTTTGTCCATAACCTCGGGCAAGATGCCACCAGCATTGTTCTTTCTATGAGGTCAATACACGCATGCGTCAAATCAGCACTGCACAGGTGAGTGAGCATGATGAGCAATCCTTTCTCCCTCTTCCAAACCTGTGCTTGCTACAGGGGTGTGGTTAACGTCTTGCTTACTAAACAGCTTACTGGGAGGCAAGCCTGTTGCTTTCATAATTTAAAGAGACTATTAAAAAAAGGAATGAGAAAAAGACTCTCCTTGGTCTTAAGTACCGGCAGTATACGCTATTAATCTCTGGAGGACATATGCACTTCGCACATAAAAAGACCGTGATGCTCCAGATGCCGGAGGACTAAAAGCAGAGCACCTGTTGGGAGAAGATTTTCTTTTTTTCAAGAATATATTTTATTTTTGTTCAACTCTTTGCTGAAGCATTTCTCCTCCTCTCAGGGTGAGCCATGTTGCACGCAGTGGGAAGCATGCAGGCCCCCATTAGTCAGATCTTGAAGCACACAGGTGTATTGACAACAACTAGCTGGAAGAAAACCATGGTGTTTATTTAGGGGACACCAAGAATACAGAAGAAGTAAACAGTTACAGTAACACAATAATAATAAAGAAATCAAACTCGCTGCCGTTGAGTTAATGCTAACTCATAACGACCCAATAGGACCACGTAAAACTGTCCCTGTGAGTTTCTGAGACCGTAACTCTATGCAGGGGTTGAAAGCACCATGCTTCTCTCAAGGAGCAGCTGGTGGCTTCCACCTGCTGACCTTGCAGGGAGCAGCCCAACTTATAAGCACTATGCCACCAGGGCTCCTCACTCAAGCCTAGCAGGCCACGTTATCTAGGTTTGGTTTAAGCAGTCCTTCCAGGAAATGTTTCTGTGGCTCGATTCAAACTTGAGAAGACTGTTGAGAAAGGTATGTACACTGATGAGTACAAATCACCTATTGATACAAATATAGATTTATAAATATACTATACAAATATAAATTTATTTTACAAAAAGATAGAGTGGACATGGCATTAAGTGTAAGAAATGGTAAACGAAAGTATAGGCACTGACCTCAAGAAAATTATGATTTTTGTACAAAGGCGTTGGAACAACTACAGTTCAGTCCTAATCTGCCCATGACTCTTTCTGTGTAGCCCCCTAGCTACAAATGGGTTTCAATGGGTGAGGGGGAAAAATTCAAAACAAGACATTTTTGATATGATAATTGTTAGAAAAATAATTCAATTTAACGGAATAAAGTCTTATTGCAACACAGCCACACCTACTCATTTACCTATTGCCATTGGTGGCTTTCTTCCAAGCTACAGGAGCAAAACTGAGCTGAACGGTGAGATTGAAATGGAAGTCAAAAGAGGGGAGGATGGGGGAGGGTAGGAGAACAGAAAGAAAAGAAAGAAAGGGTTGCATGCTAAGGTCACTTAGCATGCTCTTGTGATACTTCACGTAGATAAACTTGGGAGGTGGCAGGGAAAATTGAGTTGAACAGGGAGGAGAGAGGAGGGTGGTGGCAGGGAAAACGGAACACTGGATGAATTCAAATCTGAACACATGCAACACATTGAGGAGAGAGAATTTGAACCCAACACTCACCTCTCTAGTCTAGACCTATAACTGAAAATAGAGAAATTTGAGGGAAGCAAGCAAGATAGGGGAAGAGAGTCCATGCCCCATAAAGCACCCTAGGACCCTCCAGAACTGACAGAGAGAGAGAGAACCTTTCCCTAGAGCCTGCCCTGAATTGAGGCTTACAGCCTCCTAAACAGGGAGAGACGGTGCAGTGTGTTTTCTGCGGTGCGTCGGTCACCATGGGTATAAAACCAAGCCCACGGCACCTAACCACAGTAACGACACACTGCGAGGGAACACAGGTCTGTCTGTGACAGCCAAAGAAAGAAAAGAAAGAAAATAGAGAACTTTAATAATGAATGCGGTGTTCATGCTATGAGAAAGTACGGATGCCCGTATCTTTGGGAAAACGACAGTCAAGTCATGAGCAAAATGAGCTTGTGAATTTTTTTTATTTCTACATAATACATAGCAAATTGTCTCTTCAAAATATGTGCCCTTAATTCAGATTGCCCCAGAAATACTTCTGAAGATTAGCCTGGTGCTCTAGAGAGCAGATGGATGTGTGAGTTCCAACTGACAGGTTTTTGACAAACTATCGGTGCCACATTTCTGTGAGTCCAAGGACAAACAGTCAAAGGACCAGACAGCTTTGGGAAGGTGAACATGACCAAGAGGAAGGGTCACCAACATTATCGAAAGTCAGCCAAATAAATGTCATACTTTGGAGCCATGTTTTCCTTTTATAACAGTGGGTCATATGAACTTAGATGGTTATATGAGTAAATAAAATATTTTGCGTTGGTTTTGGGGTGATCATGTTGGTTTCTGGATCTTGTTTTCCATAAACTATAAAAAAAGTATTTTGAAAAGAAATACTAGGTATGCAGGGTTTCTACAGCGGAGGTCAATTTCTACAGGGAGAGGGTGGCGGCAGTTTCCAGAACTTCCCCAGTCTCCTTTCCAGGCTGACACCGGCCCTCTGGCCCTCACGATTAAACTTGTTTCATATCATGCTGAGGCACAGGATGACCACCATATCTAGAAAGACCATTTCCCGCATATATGTCCTTGCAAGGTGGGCCTCATTATGCCTTTTTTCTTTGATCAAACTTGGGAGAAGCTTTCTCACAAAGGTCTTTGCGAGATTGTTTGTACTCTCTTCTCCACGATATTTGTAAATGTTCACTGTCTGGTGTAACAGTCACAAGCGATGTGGAAGGACATCCTGTATCATCCAGCTACCAGTAAACTCTGGACCACTAGCTGAAAGGAAGGTGGTAAAAACTCACTCAGAAGTGCCTGGGAAAACAGGCCTGATGATCATCTTCCCAAGAGTCACAGCTCGGACAACCCAATGGAGCAGTTCTCCTCGACTTGCCTGAGCTTGCCATGAGGCAGAAAGGCCTGGAGAGCAGCAAGCCAGAGCAGCGATGTGAGGAGAGAGTGCTGAGCCCTGACGTGAGGCCAAGGTGAGATGAGAGGTCATGTCAATGACAGGAAGACAGCATGAGAAAGACAAAGTCAAAGGTCCCATTGATAATGGTATATTAATTACACTATTCTATTAAATTTTAGTGTTTAAGAAATATTGGATTCTATAAAAACATGCTCTTAAAATGAAATCTAGCTTTCCCACGCTTTTTCAATATGGGGAAAAACGATGATTATATAAGTTGCTCCCAAGGCATTTTTGACTGGGCACTGCCACTTTAGAAGAGTGAATCATGTGCTCGCATGCCTTTTTTTGGTTCCCCATTAAGCTAAAAAAGATTGGTAGAGATTAAATGTCCATCAGCCATTTCCCAAACTGAATTCTGAAAATATTTGGTCTAAGTCCTCTCACTCCCCCTCCCCTGGCTCTCTCTCCCCTGCCTCTCTTCTATTTAAATGGCAAGTCACTCATCGGCTCTTATTTCTTTAGAAAGTGGATGGTCATCAATTAGGGGTGAGGTGAGTCGCAGGTTGTCTGAGGTTT